TTTATGGACTATTTTCAATTCATATTTGATAATAATGTATTAGGACGGTTACAAGTATTCTGCTTTTAGTTAAACCACAAACTAACTAAAATATACTTATTGTTTTTAAAGTGTTTTATAGAAATATGAGAAAATATAGACAAAATAGTATACTAGAGGTTTTTATCTAAGAATTCATCTTCAGGAACACAAATAAAAGTGAGAATATAACCCAATTAAAATGGAAGCATAAAATCAAAAGGTAACAGTAAATTCATTTTACAATATTTTTATTTTAAAATATTGTAAAATGAATGATGTTTTACAAATTATGTTTTCTGGTGATTAGATTTGTTTGCTTGTGACTCAGAAAGCTATGTTGATATTGAGTGTCATACAAGAGAGTTTCAACAGTAATTGATTCCCAAACCCACCAGCGCTAACACTTACAAAAAATACAGGCCGATCTTCCTTCTCCCAACTCTGGGAAAAGTGTTAGATGGTCTAATGATTAATAGGATCACATGGCATCTATGCAAGCGTAAAGCCCTGCGTCAGAATCACTTTGGCTTCTCTAAAAACAAATGTATAGTAGATGTCATCAATCAGGTTTTTGACTACATCCACTAAGCTAAACAAAACAATCAGCATACCGCAATTATCACTATTGACTTTAGAGGCACTTCGATCAAGCCTGGTGGACTTCTATCATGCACACATTACATGCTCATCACTGTCCTCAAAATCTTTACAAACTTCTTCAGTCCTATCTTAGTGACAGGAGTGCAGGTGTTTACACAATACAAAATAACATAGTCATACCCATCACACATGGCTGTATCAGGGATCCAGGTCTGGTCCTGGTCTCTGGAACATAGCCTATAACTCTATTCTGCACTTAAACAATACCCTGCCTCATACAGGTCTATGCAGACAACACAATTATCCTAGCTTCATGCAGGAACAGTGAATGCTTACAGGACATATGCAACAACATTCTCAATAACATTCACCAATGGAGTATTAAGCATAGGTAACACATTAACACAGAAAAATGTAAAAGCATAAAAGATGGTAGGAATGCACCACTCATCAGTAAGCTTACCCGCCGAATAGGTGCTCACAGAATAAAGTAAATGACAAAAATTAAATATTTAGGTGTTATTCTTGACAAAAAACTTAACTTCACACCCCACATCAAATACATCATGGACAAAGCTAAAAAGACGGCCAATGCTCTTGTTACTATTGCTAGGAACATGAGGCCTTGGCTCTAATGCTACTAAGCTTATTTACAAGTGTGCAATTCAGCCAGCACTCCTCTATGCTGTACAGGTCTGGGGTCACGTGGCCATCAAAGTCCATAACCGTTAAAATACTGTTATCTGCTCAAAGAATTGCAGCTCTCTGCATTTGTAAGGCTTATAGGACTGTATCCACTAGTGCTCTTTTGGTAATGTCAAGATTGACCCCTATCAACTTAAAAATTAAACGTATTATTTGGCAGAAAAATCTCATCACCTTACTCTGGCAAGATTATAGTGACTCTGATGTCGACAAATTGATTAGAGTAGATGAGATTTCCCCCAGTCTGACTTTGATCAATGATATCAAAAATTCAGCATCAACAAAAATACCCTACCGACTTATGATTATTACCCCTCCCATCAGCTTGCCCCTGACGTTTACTTTGAAGATCCAGGTGATCATCCCATGTTTGGCATTTACACTGATGGTTCTAAGATGAGTGATGATGTAGGTGTTGCTTTTGTAATTTACTCCTTCTTAGGCCATGATCTTCACAACACTTGTTTCTGTCTAGGTAGGTACTGCTCACTAGCACAGGTGGAAACTTTAGCTATTTATATGAGCTTAATTCACATCACGCATAGGAAGGACAAAAGACACTACTTACATTATCGCATTTATTCTGACAGTAGAGTAGCTTTACAGAGGATTGCGAAGTCTGATAGCCACTTAAACCTTGCCCATCTCATACATCACATTCTCAGACACTTAGACAACATTAGAATAGATTTTCAATGGGTCCCGGATCATGCAGGGGTTCTCGGCAACGAGACTGTCGACTGTCTTGCCAAACAAGTTGCAAAGTCTTCAGTCACTAGTACTTTCAGTTACATTATTATCTTGTACATCAACAATCACGTCAAGAAGCAAATCTTCATTCTCTGGCAAGACAGCTGGGACCATGACACCACTCGTAGGCTCACTTACATTTTCATCCCCAAGGTGACACTACTGCAATTCTTTGCCACTTTTATCCTAGTTATACCCTCACTCAGATACTTACAGGACACAGCAACTAAAGCAATACTTACATAGGTTTAACCTTGGAGACAATCCACAATGCAATTGTGGTATTCGGGAGTACCAAACACCACTTCATTTAGTTTTTCACTGCAATAGTTACAATCACATTAGGGATAGTTTAAATTAATGAGAGCTTCTATTCTTGAAGGGTACAACTGGCCTTGCAACCCAAACCAACTCATTCACACATGTACAATGTTCCATCATCTACTCGCATTCATATCCCTTAGTGGGGCTCTTGAGAACACTCACTCCGGGGGCATGGAAGGCATTAGCTTTCCCTTGCTTTGTTTCAACTGTCAGTATATAGCTGCCTTTCAACTTTGTATTTTAATTCTTATTTTGTGTCTTCTTTTTCAGTCTAAATTTTGTTAGTCCTAGTTGTAAGTTAGATTAGGAACTCTTAGCTTGGTTTCTGTCTGGATGTTCATTTGTCTCTGTCAATCTGTTTGTCTCATCTAGTTTGTTATTCTGTTCATTCGCTTTTCGCACTGTCTGTCTAGCTGTTAAATAGTATTAAGATTCGCGATCACATTCTGTTTTGTTAGTATTAAGTAGATATAAGTCTTCCTACCAACAGCCACTTGGCAGTAACTTCTACACTTAGCTATTCATGGTGGCACTCAGTTATTGGTGTTTGCTACACTGAGGTTTTCTTTTAGACCCTTTGGGGGACTACGGTCTTGCAGCCTAAAAACTGCAAAGCAACATCAAACATACAGGATACTGTAGCCATATGTATGCCATTCAGAGGGATCCTACCTTTCTCTACTGTCTATCTCCTCTCCCTCCTTCTTCCGCTCCCCTTTCACTTACCCTCTTTTCTGCTGGCTAAACACTTCATGTACATCCAATGTCTTTCTTGTATGTATGTATTTAAGAGCCATAGGCTATAACGAGGCAGTGTTGGGCTGTAGTGCCTGGCACACATTTCAGTGGGAAGAAATGATGTTTCTTTGTTTCTGATCAGTTCATTCACCTGTTACATCATTGCCTGCTTACAGGATTCTGTGGGTGCATTTAGGAATGTGTCAGTCTCAGCTACCAAAGTACCTAATTCCTACCAAATTATTTGACATTTAATTAGTAATTATTAGCAACAGTATAGTCTGATCTAATCTAGCAATCATTCAGCTTTAAAATAAAAATAATAATAAAGTTAATAAAATTTTGGATCCTGGAAATATTCTGCATCTCTGTTATATGGTTGCACTTGAGTTAATTTTAGTTTTGGTAAATTATTAAACATTTCTGGCAAACATTAAAATCATGTAAAAAATTTAATTATTATATTATTGTCTATTTTCTGTCTAATGTATGATTTTAATGTTTTTAATAACATGTTATGCATTGTAACATATTCACTGTTAAACATTAAAATTTCTTACTTTAATAAGAGATTTCATAATTTGTCTTTTCAGTTTTCTGAAATTTCCCTATATAACATGCAATTCTGTCATTCAACTTTCAGATATTTGACTTTTGTACACATTTTAGAAACATATCAAGGCAGCTCCACACATTGAGTATTTGCCAATTGCCAAATAATTGCCTATTCATCCCCTTTTATTTGGCACAATATACGAACAAGGAGTGAGAAAAGGCAAATACTAAATATTAGTCACAAGTAAATTAATCAGCCACATTACTCAGTATTGGCTCAGTGCTCAGCCAAATGTGTGGAGCTGTCTTTATGTCTGAAAGTTGAATATCTGTACTAACCAGTACTAGAAAATTTTAATTTCTGTTGTATTCTTTGATCTTAAACACTGTTTTGTTTGTATTTTTATTTTATTTTACTACTTGACACTGCATCATGATTTATAATAATTTTGTTTAAAAAAATAATATTAATTTATAAACATAAACATCTTAAACCCAATAGTTATATATTAAAACCAAATAATTGCCAGATTATATTGGGTTATATAACTACTACTATTATTAATTAAATGCTAAGTAAATTTGGCACTAAAGACAAGCATTAGGTACCATCTCTTGCTAAATTTAATACTTATAATTAAATTAATATTTTAATAATTCATAACACATCTACCCTGGCATGGCATATATATGCCAGGTAGATAGAATAGCCAGCTGATGGCCATAGCAGGAGTTACAGGCCATCGGAAATGAATCATCTCCAGCCAATGCCATAAGTAACCAAGTATGTTATATCCAAATTAATAAGTTCTGGAAGTGAGAATCAGACAAAAGTCTGGATAGCCTAACTGGAAATGCAACTGCAGGATAAGTGAAATTATGAGTTTAAGTCCTCCTTCAGGCCAATTCTTTTCTTCCAGAATCTTATAAATTATTAAAATATTGATTTAATTATAATTATTAAATTTAGCAAGAGATGTTACCTAATGCCTGTCTCTAGTGCCAAATTACTTAGCATTTAATTAATAATAGTAGTAGTAATATAGCACGATATAATCCAGTAATCGTTTAGCTGTAATTTATAAATGTTGACTTCATGAATGTTGGTATAAAAACTGGAATAAATGAAATTGTGTATAAAACTGAAATGAATTTTATAGTTAGAATTACATTACCTTTTATATTAAAACTATAATCATACAAGCTGTTAATTTTTTTTAAGTACAATATATAATAAAAGAAAGTTTTCAAGTCAAATGATTTTATAATATTATTTAATTAGATATAAAGAATATATTTAAACATACCTTCCATACATTGATTGACAGATTCGTAATCTGAATAAGTCCTGGTTTCAGGTTTTCCAGGTTGAATCAATAATATTGTATGTGACTAAAACAAACATTTAAAAAAATTAAATAAATACATTCTAATAAATACTTAAATAACTATAAAGCTAAAAATATAAATCTTTCATGTAAATTTAAACATTTACAAGTACAGCATATACTCGGTTAATGTCATTGATAGGTTCTTGAAACTGACATTAAGCAAAAACAAATATAATGACACTAATTTACCATAGACTAATTGATATAAGCAAGACATAATTTGGTTAATATTATTCTAATTGGATCATGTTTGCAGCCTCCAGCATTTCTTTTCCACCTCATAAAATCAATTTTATTGTCTACAAAGAAAACTTGACAATGATAATTGAAAATGGCTCTTCGCCAACATCACATTCCTGGGAAACTTATCAGTTGGGTGCAATTGCTCTACTGCAGTCCAACGAGCCGTGTTTGTGGCATTGCTGGGTCCTCAAAACCATTCCACATCTCCATTAGTGTTCATCAGGGCTCCACTCTCTCTCCCAACTTCTTTTCATCATTGTCACAGATGCCATAATATGAGACATCCAGCGACATGTACCATATAGATTACTGTATGCTAATGATATGCTCCTCACTTCCACTGACAGAATCGACCTGCAGCAGCTTGTCCAGATGTGGTGTAATCACCTTGCACAACATGGCCTCCAACTGAACCTGACAAAGACAAAGTATTTGACAACAGAATCAACTGAGCAAGGCACAATCATTGTCAATGGCATCAGCCTTCCCTGGGCTGAGCACACTAAATATCTTGGGTCTGTGATCTCCGTTGACGGTGACTTGTGCCATGAGGCAGTCACACGCATCAATGCTACCTGGCTGAAGAGGTGGTCAATTACAAGTGTGCTGTGCGACTGATGCATCAAAGACCGACTCAAGTCAAAGATTTATCGAACCGTCATCCAGCCTGTCACACTGTACAGAGCCTGATGCTGTAGGTCACCAACCACCAACTTGCTACAATGGAACCAGGATGCTGCTTTGGATGAGTGGCATTACCAGACTCAACCGAGTACCCAATGTTGACATCAGAGCCCAGTATGGCATTGCTGAGATCAGTGAGAAAGCACGTGAGTGTCGCCTGCGCCTCTATGGCCCTGCACTCTGCACTGACACTGATTCCATCATCCACATGGGCCTACATTTGGAGGTACCTGGGTCTCGCCCAAGAGGCCGCCCAAGGCAGCATTGGCTGGACATGCTACACCATGACCTGTGGGCTGCGGCCACGGGCCTACATCCTGACCAGGCCCATGATCGGGCCAAATAGCAAATCAAAACAAAATCCAGGTGTGCCAACCCCATTGCCAAGTGGGACTAAGGCTAAAGAGAAGAAAATAATTGTAAGGAAAGATACAAATGTACTTGTGTCTTTCCTTAACAAAGTTATAACAAAACATTATTAAATGAAATGATGTTAAGTGGACTTGTACTATATAAGGAGTAAGAAATAAACAAAAAGTACATGACTTTTTATCAAACACACAACATATTTCACACAACACAAAAAAATGTGATGTATATAATATCTGAGTCATCAATACATAGTAAAATCGAAAAGTTTCCACCTGATCCCTTTTAAGCAATAGATGGTACAGTATTTGCAATTGACTGATTAGTTGATCTGTTAATAAATTCAAATAAATATTTTGTTTAAATCATTAATTATTTACTGTGATATTATCAACTCAATGTGCATATTTGAAGTAATTTTGAAAATGTTTTAAATTTAGTATTGTGATTAAATTTTTAACAAAAATTAAAGAGTTCCTGAATGCTGTTTATAGAGACTTTTCTTCTTCATATTCCACTGTAAAAGAATAAGTAAAACAATTCAATTAGAAAGTAAGTTCATTGAAGGAAAACAATATCAAGGAATGCCTACTGATGCAGATATTGAAGACAACATCAAAATTGTGTATCAAATGTAATAATCAGTTCATGCCGACTTTTTCAATATCAAAGGTTACACTTGCGTGTTGTGGCGTTACGAACGGTGTCTGTTCAACAAGTTGTTCAAAAGTTTCAAAATATAAAATTGTTGTATTCGATTTACACCTGAAGACGGTAACAGTAAGTTATCAAAAGTGCTTGTGAACTTATCCAAACTCTGAACAGACACCGTTCGTAACGCCACAACACGTAAGTGTAACCTTAGATATCAAAATTGTGATAAGACAAGCTGTTAAAGATCAAGGAATTAACAACAAGGTGTGCTGTATCAAAAACCACAGCGAATCCAATACAAATATTTCAGTATGAATAAGGAAGGTCAGTGTAAGATAAATGCCAAAATTTATTTCTTCAGTTCAAAAAGAATAGAAAGTAAGATGTTACTTGGCGTGAATAACATACTAGTTTATATTATATCAAGTAAGATGTTGCAGACCTCTTTATGAAGACCAAGAAAAAAAATTATTGAATCAATTGTTATTAGATATAAAACTATGGTTCTTTATCTCATGGCCATTTATCAAAAAGAGAATTGATGGTATGTTGTCATCGTGGTTCTCCAAAGAAAACAAAGGTGACATGATCTCAAAAAAAAATTATGTTGTGATATTTTGGGTTTCTGATGGGATTGTTCTGAGTGATTTCAAAGAACAAAATACTATTGTAAGTGGAAAATATTATGCTTCTTTAATGCATCAATTGAGAGATGCAATTAAAGAAAAATGGCAAGGAAAACTGTCTCACAAAACAATGCAACACACAATATTGTGAAAGGCTGCTATTCAAAAATGAAGCTTCAAAAAACAAAAATATCCTCCTTACAGCCCTGATCTGGTCCCAAGTGACAACAATAATTAACAGAATGATCAAGAAACGATACAGCAAGCAATATATAAAGTACTGGTACATATGAGTTAAAGGAGAACTAGAAGGATCATCTCATCACACAGATTCTAATTGCTTAACTTGTAAGTATAACAACCATTACAATAGATTTACTCTTATTAAATGCACTTCTACTTGTTCACTTGAAACTTGGAAAATTCTACTTGGAAAAAAATGCCAACTTGGGGAACACAGATATAGGGACCTGCCAATATAACTAATTTTGTTTGACAAAGTAAAAAATAACATTCATTTTATTATGTAAAAATTACAATGGCAAATAATAGAATTATGCAAAGTACTTGGAGCAACTTCAATAAGCAAGACCAGACCAAGTCAAATACTTCTCTTATTATAGTAGTTTTCAACTGGGATGCCATAACTTCAAAAATATCATGAAATATAATACCGAGTAGTGGTATAACATTTTGTATGTATATTACTAAAAAAAAGCCCATTATCCATTATCAGGTCAAACAAATAATGGCTAAGGGCCGATCCCTGATTTAAACCAACATTAACGAAGAACCCTTCTGTAGTGCCCACACTATTCTTAACTTGGGTCTCTGCTCCCTCGTACATTTCCTTGACGAATGTTCCAGAAAAAATGTTTCAGAATGTATGCAAAGAATGTTCCAGAATGTTTCTCTGGAACATTCTTTTCCCTCAAACATCTCCATACCTCTTGCCTTGGTATCCTTAAAGAGGGTACTTAAGAGAAAAGAAGCCCTTGATAGGGAGAAATGAAAGAAACATATTAGAGAAGGAAACACTGACCCCATATAAACATGGGAAAAGGCAAGGATAAAGAAATTAGTTGCCCCAATAATATAGAAATAACTAATCCACACAATAAGACTGTTTTTTTTTTTAACTTTTTGCCAATAGTGGCATTTGAACTTGATAATTTTGTCTTGCTGCACACCTACTTATTTTTATCATATGCCTTTTCTAGATCTATGAACACCATGTGCAAATCTTCCTGCATTTCCCTTTTCCTTGCCATGAGCTGTTTTAGAGCAAAGATAGCATCAGTTGTACTCTTTCTGGCATAAAGCCAAACTGTTCCTTTCCAATCTCAGATTCCTGCCTAATCCTTCTTTCTACAATTTTCTCCCAAATCTTTATAGTATGGGACAATAACTTTATACCTGTAATGTAATAAGTTTGCACTTCACGCCGACGTATACTATTATTAGAACACTTACGTGCAGTGGCGTTACAGGAGTGGAATTCCTGATCCGGAAATTTTTCAACTTATAGAGAGAGGTTTCTCCACTAGCACTTTCAGTAGTGTAAAACTACCATCATCAGGCGGTACATAGAATTCGACAGTTCAAGCTTTCCGAGCGATGTTCCGACGGTTTTTTGAAAAATTCTCAATATCGAATATTTCGAACGATATTTCCGACGGTTCGGCTGATTATGGTTTTCGAATATTATTTAAAAGTTCTTACGTCATAGCGCGAAGAAATGATGATAAATAAATATTAACATTAGAAATGTCTGTTAATGAACATAGTTCGTTCAAGCATGCGCACCAACGCAAAATAAGCATATAAGCAACGAAGGAGTATTTTTATCTTGGGTTGAGTTGTTTGAACGCTGTTATCCAAATTTGTGGGAGCTCGAGAGTTGGGGAGTTGCATGGTATAGTAGTAGAAATAAAGAGTGTCTCCCAAATAAATAGCTCCTTTGGTTCGTTGCAGCGTTTTAGTAATTTTGTTTCATTCCATAGAGGCTGATAGTTATGGTCGAGTACTCTCTTTGCTAATTCCGTGACTGGCCTATTATTTTTGATGTCTTCTTGATGTTCATGGATTTGTGAACTTAATTTTCTAGCGGTAGCTCCTATATAATTAATCTCTTCACCAGTTAGTGTGTGCTTTAGCAGGATTTGGTAGATTGGATTTTTCATTCAACTGGTACTTATCCCTATCGTTACATAGTAGTCTTCTTAGATTTGGTTGCGGTGTAATTGGTAGAACATAGCCAATACTTCTAAAAATATGTGCAATTTTTAAGGAGATAGGGCCTAAGTAAGGTATCGGGGGGTGCGCTATTTTTAAGTCTTCCTTATTGGATAGGAAAGATTGTGGAAATAACCTGTTTTTTACATGATTTTTTAGAAAAACGAATTTTGAATGTGAGTAACCTGCT